GAATTCTGGGAGTTGAAGTCCACACATCTTCAAGTTGCCAAGATTGAGAAACACTGATCTAGATGCCAGAAGGGGGTGATGATCAAGGAAGAGAGACACTGAAACAGGGGCTTACTGAAGTAATACAAAGGAAAATTAAGGTGGAATCTCTGTAAGTCCAGTAACCAAGATTTGGTTATATATCAGGCAATCCATGGGGAGCATTAAAAAAAAGTCAAGAAGGCAGCCACTACCACACAATTGGTCTGCCACTTTATATGTGTGCTATGCACGCAACATACTGGGCTCTGGTCACACAACCATCTTAGCTTTTACACACACACACAGCCATGGATATCCCAGGTGGCTCAATATCTCAAACAGCTTATTTCCTGAGGAAATTGATCATTTGATCATTTTAATATCCTTCAGTAATTTTCAAGATTAGCTGGAAGAACATCCCACCCAATGAAAGACTGCCCATGTGAGGTGGCTCATATTTTTCTGTTCTACCTCTTCTATAAGGGCAGCATGAGAGCTCCCTTAACACAAACGTTTCCAGATGCTCCAGATGGTTTTTAATTTGTTTTTTTAACAGACCAAGACTTCAAAATTATGTTGCAACTAGCAAAATACTATTTGGTAACCTGCAGGGTGTGGTGCCATTGCATGGAGGAGCAGAAGTGTAGAAAGATAGAAATCAGCTGTGGTAGTCTTTCTGTTTGCATGTTCTTGCACATTACACTGAAGTTATGTAATTGTATGTAACTTGTGTATCTCTTATTTTGTCATCAACATTTGAAGCAATATATTGATTGTGACACTGGAGAGATTTTAGCCCTTCTACCAACAGTTTCTCCCCTCGGCCCAGTCCTAAGAAAAATAGAATAGAAGGCAATTTGGATCTTCCATCCTAAAGCCCAGCGATACAGAATCCCAAAAACCTATGCCAGTCCTGAAGCAAAAGAGTACTGTGTAATGACGGGGTCTTGCATGAGGGAAAGGTTTTAATAAAAATAAAAACAAATCTCTAGATATAGAAATAAATGTATTGGCCAAAGTGAAATAGAGGGAGGGAGGAAGGAAGGAAGGAAGGAAGGAAGGAAGG